TGGGAACCGACGCGACATTGATTGGTTTTCTGATGATACGTTAGAAGCTATTATTGGGGGGTATTGTAGTGAACGGGGTGTGTGGTGGCGGTACGATTTATCTCCAGCGGAAGAAAGTCGAGATCTTCCGATTCGGCTAGTTGCTTTCGGCAGAACAGGCTGTCCATCAATTTGTTGGAAGCATTGGCGATGGTTGTTAACGCCTGCGTGATGATCGTTGTCCTCATCAAGGATCAGCCAGTCGTCCCCGGAGAACCTGTTCTTTTTCGTGGTGACAATACCTCTGCTGTGACAAAAGGGTAAACAATTGTGGGGGTACACGGGAGCCACGCCGCCGCGTTTATTATGAGATGGCTGGGCGTGTTGGAGATGACAGGGGGGTGGTGTTTCGAAGCGGCACATATCCCTGGCGTTGAGAACGTTTTAGCGGACGGAATTTCACGGTGGGCACGCGCGGATACTCCTCGCAGACTAACTGAGCTGTCTTCTCCCTCTCGCGCGCGTTGGCAGGAGGTCAGGTTGGGGATGGCAGGTGGGATGGCATGTTCGGAGATCTTGCGGTCTTATTCTCGACGGTCGGAGTTGCTCCGTCGACTCACGCCACTTACGCAGCGGCGTGGAAACCGTGGGTAGAATGGAGAACGGTCGCGGTGCGTAAGAGTGTCTATTTGGATGCGGCAGGGGGGGAAGAAGAGTCGGCTAACGAGTTGGCGAAGTACATGGCGTACCTGTTTTTCTGTCGGGGCAATAAAATGTCCACGATCGCGGGGAAGCTGGTCGTGGTCAAGTACTTCCACAAGCGCATCAGGGTGGACCTCCCAATGAAACATCGTTTTTTTCGGGCTGTCAAAGCCCGTTTGGCGAGAGAGAGCAAGCTGCATATCGATGGTAGGACGCGACGCCCCATTTCGTGGACCATTCTTCGCAGCGGCATTTGCATGGCGGCGGAATAGGGCGAGGGGGGGCGGGTGATGTGGTTAGCCCTAGCGGTGCCCTATTTTTTTTTGTGCCGCCCATCGGAAATCTTCGCGTATAGCAACGGTAAGAATTACAAGGAGTTTGGGATTACGCGCGGCAATGTGGCGTTTTGGAAAGGGGAGGTGCAGCTCCTTACTCCGGCATGATTGTGGCGGTGTGCGGATCGAGTAGAGGTACTGTTCGAGGCGTCAAAAGGAAATCATGACGAGGCAGTGGTGTCGCGTGTTAAGACGTGCCCGCCCGGGGTTCGCTAAGTTCGATCGGGAGTGGGACGGGACCGACCGGTGATGTACCGGCGGGGATGGTGGGCATAGGCGGGTTCGAAGTTTTGCTGGAATTGATGTGCTGCTATCCGCAGCTCGATGAGATGGCACCCATTGCTGCTTACCCTTCTGGTAAGGTTTGGAAGGTTTGGACGTGTTCTTCTCAATCATCGACAGCTTTGCGCGCTCTCGTGGCTGGTCAAGGATTGAAACCGGAAGAGTACGCGCCGCATTCCGGCAGGACAGGGGGCGCGACTAGGTTGGGGGCGATGGGGTTGTCTTCGTGGTGGGCAATTCAACAGCAAGGGAGGTTGAAATCAGACGCGTTTCAATCGTACATACATACATGCGGGCCAATTTGGATGATGTTCAGAAGGCGTCCTTTGCGCTAGCGTCGGACGCTGTTGGGAAGGGGATCCAGCCCGGGCAAATGACGCGGTGGAAGGGTGCACGACCTAACTAAGCCGAAGTAGTAGCGTCTCGGGATTTATTTTCATGTTTATGTCATTTGGTCTGTTAGTTAGGAGGTTGTACTGTACGTGGTCATTTTTTCTTTTTCGGGGTCTAAGCGGCGTGCGTGCTGTTAGTCGCTCTTGATATGGGAGGCAACAATTTATTTATGGTCATGGTGGATGATAAGGTGGGGATGGGGGGAGCGAGAGGGAGTCTGAAGGTGGAGGTTGGGGAGAGGGGGGGGGCTATGTATGGTGAAGGGACGGAAGGAAGCAATCGGGGGTAGGGCGCAGACGCATGGGAAATGGGAAAAGCAGGCTGTCAAAGTGGGGTGGTAGCGAGATGAGGCGTGACAGCCTGCCTAGGTTTACGTCTGTGTGTGGTGTATGTATGTATGAGGAACCCGGGCAAGATTTGGCGTGGGGTAAGCCTGGGTGACGTGATGAAGTCGTGGGGGTCCACGACTCAAAAATAATAATAACTCCAGATTCATGAGCATTACAAATATAGGACTGATGATGTACTGCTGTAGATTTTGTTCCACCTCCCATGAATTTTACAATTTTATTCCTAATATGTCTAATAAACCAGCAAGCTGTCAATAGACACTGCGCCGTGTCCCCTGTGAAGGTTACAATTTACAATACACGGCACAACGGAGGGTCTCTCCCCGATATTTTGCCGTTGACCCAGTAGAGCACTACAGGGGATGTATTGTAAAATGTAAGTTACCAATACAGATGTGTTTGTACTTAGCACCAGCTGGCATCACTGGTATAAATCATCAGTCAGTGTAGACATAAAAAGACTCGAAATAAGTCCAGTACCCAGCCGGTTTCCCTCCACTCACTGAAAAGACTCCACCACATCCCGTTCGACTGTGGGTATATCTCGAATGGGTAGTCTTTCTGTGTGTGTTTTTTTTTATTTTATTATTCCTTAAATATATATTCCTCAATTGCAAAATTGGGGTTTCAGCCAGCGCAATCCCGAAAAAAAAAAAAAAATCTTGTCCGAAATTTCGATACTTTAATCGAGTAAAAAAACTGATCGAAATCGACTCTGTAATCAAGTATCACATGCATGCACCCATGCAAGACTACCGAGCGTAATATATACACAACACACACACAGGAAGACTACCCATTCGAGATATACCCCCGAGCGTAGATTCATCGTTGATTCTACGGAACCCCTCTCTACGATGAGGTTGCGCCGCTGATGACTGCTCAGCTCATGACGCGTTCCACGTCATTTCGGCACAAGTCCCCTCTCACCTGGCACACTCTGTGCAAGACCAACGCAGCGAGAGAGAGAGAGAGAGCATACATGCGAACAAACGAGGGCGTGCCAATCCAGACACATCGGGGGAGGTGTCTCAGAGTAAGGCGTTGGCGGACAAGTTTACAATGGGTGATAGGAACAGCAGTAGAAGATCCACAAGAACAGCCGCAACAGCAGCAGCAGCAGCTGCACTCCTGGCTCGCTTGTCAGGCGTGTACTCCACCCTGATGCTGATCCTCTGCTGCTGCTCCTGCCGGGCTGGGGTATACAGCAGTGCGAGAGCGAGTAGCACATACCCGGTCCGCGCTCTGCAGCTGAGTATGTCTGGGCTGGCATATGCTGCTACAAGCTGCTGCAGCAGGGGCGGCGCGTTCTGCACAACAGCTAGGGGAGGGAGCCGTAGGGCTTGGAGCTGGAGACAACGGGCGCTGATAACCGCGATAGGGCGAGAAGCCGTAGAGGAGAGGTGTGGGGGCGCAAGCCGGCGGGCTGTCGGAGTAGAACGGGGCATTTGGATGAAGGCCAACAAGAAGAACAAGAGGAAACGACAGCAGCAGGGTCAAGGAAACGCAGCAGCAGGTGGGCAGGCAGGCAACGATGACATCATCTTGGTCGGTTCCCGAATGGCGCCGCTGTTGCGGATTTGCGCGACAGCTGGTTCTCTGCTGGACCCTGTGTACCCACGCATAGTTGGTATTTGTTCTGTTGGTGCGGTGGGTGGACAGTCCCACGTGCAGTCGTTCTTATGGGGGACGTGCTGCCTCTATTCCCCGTGAGTTTCAATTAAGGAATAAGTTTCAATTCTCAGACAGATGCTATAATAAATCATGTGCGTGGTGCTTAGCGTAGCTGCTGTGTTTGGTTCACGTAGACTACCGCTGTTTCTTTGACTGACTGAGCATTTACAACGTACCCTCTTCGAACATGCACCATTAGCGTCGGTATGTAGTGCAATGATTTGTCTTGGGGGGGCGATAACACGGTTCCTCCACCCCTGCAAGAAACGGTGGTAGACAACACCAACTCTGTCTCAAATACGGCAATTTCAAAGAGTGCACTGGCATCATTGATCCGTTCAGTGTGGACTATTTTAAGTCTTGGCAAACAGACTTCAAAATATGTCCAGTATCCAGCAGTCACCTCTCACTGCTGTTGTGAAAACTTCAACGCATTCCTTCGATATGGGTATGTACTTCTTCAACGGGTAGTTACAGCGCAGTAGACATTCTGCGATTTTCTGCCTCTGTTTCGAAAACACCGTCGTTGACGCAGCAATAGGAATAATGCTCGTGCGTATGCACTCGACGTAGCCGAAGCGCTTAGCCTATGCACCCCCGCTCACTCCTCTGGATGGCCCCTTCTCTGTCAAAGCAACCACGCTGACCCTTCATTTCTATTATGATAATTGATTCGTACGTACGCATATTTATATACGACAACCAATCACAATCCCCACACCCCATCACAATCAATCACAAACGCTCCCCTCATGCTACGATAAGGCGTTCGCCTCACGGAAATGCCGGGCGTGCTGCTGCAGTTTCAGTCTTCTCCATATGCAAATGGCCTGCGGTTTTGTCTCTGGAATGATTTGCTTTTTTTTTCGTACTTCATTTGTCGTGTCCCATGATGTGGGGTGAGGTTTCGCCGGCATGACATGGCACCAAACGATCCAACCGTCGTCGGTGTCTGTGTGTGTCTTCTGCTACAATCTTGACACGATATGTCCCCGAATTCCACTACCCATGTTATGCATACAACCGTCGTACCAACCCTGGATGCCTGCCCGAGCCTCCCAATTGGAACCGACATACCACCAGGAAAAAGGCCTTTGACACATTGGCTTTATTTTGCATCGCTGACGCCTATTGCGCATGTCCAAGTCACAGAAAGCCAACATCGGAGTTGTAACGCCGCCTACACATTGGCAGAATCTCGTTTCCTCGTTGCAGCCTCCGGCTTTCCGCCTTCGGCAGATGAAGAGGCGGGTAGGGAGGCGAGACTACAGGTGTCTGACTGGCTGCGTTGCAGCTCCGACATCGCCACAGCAGCATTAACTGCTGCGTCTTCTAGCCTTTCATACTCTCCACTTTCCACTTCCGCGTGACCCTCTCGAAAGCGTTTTTCGCGACACGCGTGCCTTCTCTCGACACCGACGCTTGGACTCAGGCGACACGAGGCTGTCTCACTCTTTACCGTCGGATCGAAGAGGAAAATAACAAAATAACCGAATCTGGGACCCTGTACGACCGAACCACGACCTTCAAGCCAATAGCCCTCTCGAAGGCAGTGCACAAACGAGTGATTGCATAGGTTTTATGCATACGTCTGTGTTGTTTCCACAAACGTGGAACTTCTTCTTTTTGCTCATGAGTAGAGTTAACTGCATCTACCACAGTTCGGTCTGCGACGACGGCTTTTCGTTGCTTATTTATTTGTGCCTGCACGGGTCCCTGCAGGCGGGGATGGCGCTCCGAAGCACAAGCCGCAGCGAGTCACCAAGGATGCGCCGGTGTCGGTGAGGACGCAGATAAAGTACGCCAAGATGAGGAAGTCCATGGAGAGGAGCAATGGCCCGAAGAAGATGGTGCACAACAAGTACCGCCGCGTCAAGAACACCGACTACGAAGATGTGAGGGAGGGAGGGAGGGAGGGTTGTGATGTTTGTTGTTGCAGCTCTTGCTGCCGTTGCTGCCGTTGCTGCTGCTACTTAGCTGCCCTTTTTGAGTCGTTTGGATTTGGAGGTGGTGTTTGTAGTCTGGGGTGATGGAAGAAGTTCAGAGGGCGGGGCTGGGGAGGGGCCTGGGGTGCATGGTGGAAATGGTCCCCCGTGGTCGTGGGTGCACCTAGGTCGACCCTCGATCCCATCTTCCACACTCCCGAGCATGATACAGAAACAGCATGGTTACTGCTGTTGGCCCGTGGGGCACAATAACTCATCTCCCAAGTGCCCTTCGTATGCGGCCAACAAACGCACACCCTTAGTCCCCGCGGACACTTGTTTGGTATGCCTTGGCAGGAGAAGTTGATGACGTCACCACATGTCTCCCGTCCGGTGCGCTCTTCGTTATCCTTGCGTCTCCGTTCGATGTTTTCGAACCCCCGTTCCCCCATACTGCGGATCGACCGATCCACGCAACAGATCGTAGAGCCGGAGGACCTGAGCCATATTTACATGCCCGACATCGCGCCTGCTCTCATGGTCGATGGGTGAGTGAGTGAGTGGAGCGGCAACGGGGGCGGTCTGTGGGGCAAGCGTTAGCAGGCAGCCTCTTCCTCGTTTTGTATATTTTTCTGTCTGCAACCCTCTCTTGCCCCGCCCGCCCCCACTCACTCACACAGTCTACGTTTCGCCTATCCCGTCGTGGGACGGCCGGCTAGTTGCCTACGGTAAGCGGTTGCTTCTTGTTTTGATGGCGGCTTTGCGGTTGCGGCGGGCTGCGACTCAAAATGTCGACCGACGATTGCTCAGGTATAACATCATCTTCCACTGGTCCAAGTGCAGCATTGTGGCCGACAACGGCGACTTGGAAGGAGCGAGGCGAATTCTTGTGGAGGAACTCGACACGCTAGCGGCCATGCGGGGCTGGACGGTTACGGTAAGCAACGGTACAGGTTTTCCGTGAAGGCAAACCAACATGCACGCAAATCTCGTTGGCGTACAGCCGAGAAGAAGAGCCGAGATGTGTCTCGACCCCACGAACGATCACATTTTGTAGAATTCGGATTCACGACGGCGACGACGAGGCCGCATTCCTCACCTGGCCCTGTTTCTTCCTCTGCCATGCAAACGCCTCATTCACTGCTGCTGTGTGCCTGCAGGTGGTTTTCGATGCGTACAAGCGAAAAGGCCGCGCACGAAAGTACGTCACTCCCAACGAGGTGACCCAGCCCTCACCGTGTAGCGCGTGTCTGTCCATTATTTGGTGTGTGGCATTTGTTTTCTTGTTTAGACGAGACGTAAAAGGGGCGTTTGACACACGGAATCGTTTGGTTCACAAGAGGTGCGACATCTATTTCTGTACACTTGCCGAGACCGGTGGTACCCCTGCCGGCAGTTCTCTCAACGCCTATTGAGTACCGTACGAGTTTATTTGGCAACCGCCAGCATGCGCTTCAAAAGTCAGAAGTCGAAAGCCCTGCGCGTGGTTGCCCGTTCCTGGTGCTGTTACGGTGCCGCCGCTGCAGATGCTGGCAACTAGTGTGTCCTTTTGTGGGTCCCTGCTAGCGTGAGTGCCCATATCCCCACCTGTGTCTACACTACACTCTGCTGTCCCTGCTGACCTGAACTGCTTTAGCACTTGGCGTTTGCGGTTAATCTGTCGTTGCCAGGGGTCGAGACAGACAAACTGAAAGATGAAAGGGTCTTGGCGGTTTTGTACACGCGGAAGGCGTTGTCATGACTCAGGCGTTGTCATAACTCACGCACCGACCCCCCCCCCCCCCCCCCGCCCCCCGTAGCGTAGTACCGGCCCCTCGAGAGGGAGAAAAGTACGCAAGTGGTGTGCGTAGGTTAAGCAGCAGATGTACGCGTATTCTAAGGCAGACCTTGTTCGGGGCGACGTTATACTGCACTCACTCACCCAGCTAACCGGCTTTTTGCGTTTCGCGCGCGAATGGGAATCTACCCGGCTGATTTACCTCCCACCGTGTGCCCCTGCTTTTTTGCCCTTTTCCCGGCCCCGCCTTTGCTGTCGCCAACGGCTGTCATCGGTCGTTCGCTCGTGGGAACCGCGAAGATCGATGTCGTGTTCACGTCTAACGGAGAGAGCGCTGACATGTACGTCGAGCGCTTGACAGAGCAGCTCAAGGACTCCGGCTGTCCGAACGTGATGGTGAGGAATTGGTGCCTTGCGAGATTGAACTGAATTCATTGCCCGGCACGAGACACTACCCCTTTTCGTGGACTAGGCTCCCGGATACATTCTTGCTGTCGTTGTCGTGTGCTCTTGCCGCCGTTGTTGGTTCATGTCTGGGTGTCGAAGAAGTGACAGTGTTCTCTCTCTCCGCTACCGCGGGTTCCATATTGCACCAAACACCGCGGACCGATTTTCAAAGCTCGAGTACTTCGCAGGGATGGCAACGACGATGTCGGGGATGGAAACTTCTAGTCGAGAGCATTCCGGAAACGCCTCATTTCATTTTGGCATACGTGGAACTGGAGGAAACGAGGGTTGAAAAAGGGTCCGTGGGGTTGCGGTATCTTCTGCAACCCACGGTGCACCCTCTTGTACTGTATTATAGTATACCTGGTACTCTTGAGGACAAACAACACATGGCAGAATGGAAGATTGTCGTGAGAAAAAAACACCACTCGCGAAGGATAAGTTAAGCATAACATGCACAGACTGTAGCCTCTGTTAAGAGGTTTAGTATTCATTTTGTGTTGCCTGGCGAGGCACGCTCTTAGATGTCTACTAGCTTTTGTTGTCGAACGATTTACTACCATGCATAGGTGGCGACGGGCGACAAGCTGATGCAGAGTTTGGTAGTGGGCGCCGGGGCCGAAGTGTTCAGCCCGGACCGCATCATTGAGGTGAGAGAAGCAAGAGATGAACGGGGCGCGGGGTGTTTTTTTGTTCGCGTATCAGTATTGTAGTTCGTATCGACTGCACTATTTCCGCTGAGAAAACGCCAGTGTTGGACAGCGGGAAACAAACAAGGTCCCCGCAAGGTGTAACGATGGGCGTCGCCCAGAACACCGTCGTGATTCTCTCTCTACAAACCCTGCGGGATAGGGCACGCCAACGCTTCAAGAAAGCGCATGCCGTCACTCGGGTGTTTGTGTGCGTGTTCGTGGGTGAGAGATAAGGATATGTATTATGCTGACAGGGGCAAACAATGGGTGGGCACAGGACTGATCGATCGACGGAACTAACAAGAGGCGGGAGAACAAGAGGTAAGAGTAGGATGGGGACGGGGGGGGAATGATGGAGAGGACGAACAAAGAGAAACAACGCGAGCGAACATGGGTTGTTTTCTTCAACTCCGTCTGTCGCAGCTGTAGGTTGAAGCGTCATCGTCGGTGTGTGGGCGATACGTGAGACTTGCCGTTGTCCCTTTACGCCGCTTTCTTTTTCTTTTTTGGTCTTGCCCCGTTTTCGGCAACGACAAACAAAAATACAATCAACAGGAGATCGAGATCTCCCACTCGGAAGCCGTGGCGTACACGGACCGGTACCTGCGCAGAAAACAGGTGAGAAAAGGGGCGGTGGCGGTGGTGGACACAAGTACTATGGACTCGATCGGGGTATACCCTCGTACGCGTAAACTCACCAATTCGGTCTGCGCCAATATGCAAAAGTCTAGATGTTGCTTGATTTTACACACCCAGCGACCGACCACGCGTACCCGCTGGTCGTTTGGCCAGCCATGTACAGCGCTACTGTATTGCTGCACTGGGCTCATACGAATAATCAACGAGATAGCTGTTGGCCCTTTTGATTTATCCTCCCTGACGGACTGTCGGTTTCGCTTTTTGGGTACCGAGATGCCCGTGCCCGACAAACGGGCAAGCAGCCGTACCCGGGCGGGTGGGCGGGAGTTCGAGCGCGGCTTGTCTTTGTGTGTCCGTCCTACGTTGGGCAGAGCTCGAGATTCACGCCCGTCACGCTATTGTAGATAGGTGTTGCAGCTTTTGGCACAGAGGCGAACCGCCGACGATGGGCGTGAAGCTCTCGCCCTGCCTACTTCCTCTCAACTACTTTTGTTTTTTTTTATCAATCGCAGCTGCTGGTGCGTGAAGTATGAAGGCTTTGCACACGTTTTGGTGCGTGGTTCGTAAGACGAATAGCAATCGCACCATTGTTTTTTCAAGCTTGCTTCCGTTCTTTGGAATTGAGAGCCCGGCCCGATCTGCGAACAATTTTTCCCTCGATGCTGTGTCGCCTTAGTTGTTCTCGGGCTTTATTCACCGGTGCTCTAGACGAATAGACCACCGGATCAAACCCCTTCGCCTTGTGGGTCGAAAGGTGCACACGAGTCAAAGGTCACGTCGGATAGTCACGGTGGTGTGCACACTCTCACAACCCCCCCCCCCACCCACGTTCCATCTACACACCCAAAACGT